CAGCGACGATGATCCGTCTCCACCCATTCAAGATGTCCCACCGGAGCTGGATCCATTCGAAAAGGTCGGTGTCACAGACAGCACCGTTGACGCAATTCATGTTTTGATTCAGATTTGATTCGTGGAGTGTACCGCCAAAAAACAAAAAATATTGATGCCACGGGTTGAATACATCGACGTTGGTGTCCAAGAGACATGGAGGAATTGATCCCCCTTGACTTCAGGACGAGTTTCGGGTTGCGTTAGTTTTCAACCGTAGGAAAATACATATGTCACCAAACAACTCCCCTTGGCACGTCTCAACCATCGCAAAACACGCAAGCACCGCTCATTAATCACTGCGTGCACATTTCTTAGAGAATGGACTCAAGGTTGACAGGCCAACCGAATCCCGGTCACTTTCACGGCGTTTATGAGTCGGAATGACTGCAGGATCATAACAAGATTTTGAAACCGCATCTCGATTTAGCGTACGGTGTGGGTACTGCGATTGAGTACTCAGCAGACACCGTGGCATTTAATGCCTTCTCCTTGCCGTTTCCATCCCAGCTTGATCTCAGATTTCAGCGCCAGCGATTACGGGCCCAAGGCTAGTAAGCACTTTCCGCGTTCTCTAGCAGTTGATATGTCCTCCTTCGAGTTCAGGCAAGTTCAGCCCCCAAGCTCGGGTTAAATTAAGATAATTTCAAGTGGGTTCATCGACAAGGGTGAAGTTTAATGGTAGACGCACTGTACGGACACGAGGGAGGAAAATTACAGGGAGCTTTGGGCCTGATACTTGTCGCGGTACACAGACGCCGCCGGATTCGGTCTGGGAGGTGGGCTGGGGATTGGTTGTTTTTGCAACAACGTCGCATCGTGCCCAAACAGCCAATCCTTGCGTTCTGAGAACCCCCAGAAGATCGGATTGTCAGAATTATCGTGTCGCATTAACTCGTCCCTGGTTGAGTCAGTGGTCAGCTAATAGCACAATTGAGAAATACTCAACTCACCGGCGTTGCTGTTCAGGGCCATCGTACAGATGCAACCAGTCCTGAAGCACCCGCGTATTATGCGCAACATACGCCGCACGCGGTTTGCGCTGCGCCTCGTAGACCTTCAGCGCAGTCGGAATATCCTCATGGGCCCGCAACGCAGCCGCCAGCGCCGCCGCATCCTCCGTCGCCTGCGCCGCCCCCTGCGCCAGGTACGGCATCATCGGGTGACACGCGTCCCCCAGCAACGCGACGCGCCCCGCGGGATGCACCCATCGGTCCAGCTGCGCGAAGTCCGCGAGCTTCCACTTGAGATAACGTCCCGCCAGCGCGCAAAGCCTCCGCACCGCGGGGCACCAGTCCGCGAAGCGCGCGATGAGGTGCGCCGTATCCGCCTGGCTGCGCCACTCGTCCAGCCCGATGGGAGCCCCGAGGTCGGTCGTGTGCGTCACGTCGATGATGACGTTGTAGAGCAGGCCACCGCGGAGGGGGTAGCCCACCGCGTGGCCCTCCGGCCCCATCCAGTGCACGGCCCACGGATTGGTGACGAGGTGCCGCATTTCGGGGTCGGCGAGGAGCGGGGCGGCGGGGACGAGAATGCGGTAGGCGACGTCGCCTGTATCGACTGGGTCGACTGGGCGGCCGTTAATTGCACCGCGCACGGCGCTCTTGATTCCGTCTGCACAGATTATGAGGTCTGCTGTTAATCGTTCACCGGTGGCGGTAGTAAGCGCCGGCGTTTCGAAGTCGTACGTGGCCACTGACGAGCCCATGCGCAGAGTGATGTTTGGATGTTTCTCGACGGCCGAAACAAGCGCCTCGATGAGGTCCGCGCGATGGATGAAATAGTATGGCGCTCCGTACCGTGCCTCTATGTCGTCAAACGGACAGTCTAGCAATGGAGTGCCATGCCAGTCGACGAATCGGTTTCCGCGCGAGACCTCCTTCCTCACTGCGGCGAGATCTACGCCCCACGAGAGACTGAGGCGGGAAGAATTCGGCGGGACGCGAATACCTGCTCCAACCTGAATAGAGTTAGATAAAGTCAGCACGACTAAGGTGGGGCACGCGCCTCCAGGAACTCCTTTACAGATTCCAGCACGGTGACCGTGTGACCATCCGCTGCGAGGGCGAGCGCGCTCTGCAGCCCACCTATTCCTGCGCCCACTATGAGGACAGAGAGCTGTTTCATTGTGGGGTGGGGAGCGGATAATAATACGCACCTTACTTATATTTGGAAGAGCGTCCGGGATCCCGTCGGAGGGACATGCCGTTGTAGGGCTCGAGCACGAAGGGCTCGAGTCGCATGATACATCATGTGTTGGGAAAAACCGAACTGAAAAAGATAGAGCGGAGTTGAAGGGACAACGATAAGAACTTCAGCGCTTCGTCGACCGGAAAAGCCAGCCACTGGTCCAGAGAATAGCACTCATCGGTGGACTTGCGCGCGGCAAGACCGTGACTGGAAAGACGAGAAGAGGAAACAGACGGTAGCCGAGGACAGTCGTGTCGTTCCCGGCGCTGAGTTCTTCCACCGTCACCCACGTTACGGCCCCTCAGCGCGTCGTTGCAAGTGTGAAACCTATATACCGCAGCGGAGGAGAAAGAAACGAGAAAAGACGAAGTGAAGACCGTCGAAAGGAGTAACCAAGATGAAGCCCATCACTGGATCGCCAGAGAAAGCTATGTTACTGTACTGTTTCGCTCAATTCTCCGGAGCTGTGACCTGTGACCCCGAAGTTCGAACTTGAACTTTCGTAGATCCGCTGGAGTGCCTGTGACTGCCAAAAAAGTTCGTAAATCCGGCGACGCCCGAGAGGCCGTGGAAGCTCCCTGGCGACAAAAAGTAAACTGGAACTGCGTTGGAACTGCGACACAAAGACGAATTGGAGGTAGTTTCAATCAATTTAGTCCTGAGCCTGTTTAAACTGACCTGGTCTTCCCCTTTTCAACCCTTTTTGGTGGCTTTTGAATGCAAATCAGGCAGCCCACAAACTCCTCCGCAGATGTGAGCGCACCCCGCGGCTCGGAGCCCACAGCACTGTGTGTGGGCGAAAAATTGGATTTTAGCCCTTTTTCAGCGACTTTTTTGTCACATTCGAAGATTCTCTCGGTGACCTGTGACCTGTTCAAAAATTTTCTGATATTTTAGGGCCTGTGACCTGTGACATACGAATTGAGCGAAACTCTACAGTAGTCCTACATTGCCCAGCAGAGATCGTCCAACGCCCTAAGACCCTGCGGTGTGGTGGGCGGCAACAAGAGGCAGGCGTGGGAACTGCCGGCGCCGTAATGATGTGCAGACGCGGCCGGCAACTTCCGCGCGCCTCTTGCTCCCGACGCCCATGATCTTCGCCGGCAAGATATGGATATGCGCATCTCGAGGAAAATAGCATAACTCTAACGCGACGTTCCCTGCAAACTGAGGTCCAAACTTCAAGTCGTCCAAAAACCAGAGCGAGCCCCGTAATACTTATTCTCAGTTTTCAAGCCCGGGTTTTTTCACCAATCTCGGTCCCCTTCAAGTGTCCGCCCAGGGTGGTCCTTCTAGCAACAAGACTGTAAGTATTCAGGATTCCGACTTACCTGTCGCAGCGACCACAATTGCCCAGGCCCCAACCTACTTGTTTCTAGGAACCGCAAGTTGTGTCTGCGTCAAATCCCTCCTGAGCCGAGAATCAACCGTGATGGAATAGTTAAAAGCTCCAAACCCCGTCTGCGACGCGCTTACATACGACCGGCTGACGATCATTCGATGGCTTGTGAACCTAGATCAGCAGCTCTCCGAGTTAAACGAGGGGTCCACCGTTTAATCCCAGTAAGTCAAAGTTAATATCTACGACCTGTCTCCCTCAAATATTGTACCCTCGGCCCTCCGAGTCCGAGCGAAAGAAAAAGCGGGACATGAGAAATCTCTAGGCCCCGGCCTGGTTCGAACAGGGCTCTCCCGCAGCGCGCCCGTCGTATAATGCTGGCGCGATGAATTTCGCGACTGGGTCGTTCTCAAGTTCTCAACGGCGTAGCCCGCAGCAGACCGGTGAAGACCCCGAGTATTTTCGTGCTGTAATTGACTCGTTCCCTCAAAAAGCAATTAGCAAGAGCCATGACAGTCCTGGTTCGCACAGGGACCTCCCGCGGTTTAATACCCCCTTGGAATCTCTTCATTCAACGCAGGCGCGATGTGTTTCGCCACTGAGTCTGTTTCACCCTGCGGCGTGAAGTCGGTCGGGTACGCAATTACAATTTAGCAGTCGGCTCGAACGTCTGTTGAACTTTTGGAATCTTATGTAAACCCGAGGATAGTCACGGAGCTGCTTCGCGGGGAGCATGGTACGCGTACGTCCCGCCCTTCTTGCCTGTCAGGAGCATACTGCTCATTTGTAATCAAGGCAAGAATAAAACCTAAGTGAAACTGCAATATGACCCAGCCCTGATTCGAACAAGGACCTCCCGCAGAAATGGCAGACTTCGCCCACGTGGAACTCAGTGCGGGCGCGATGAATTTCGCCACTGGGTCTGTTGCAAATTGCGGTATGAAGTCGGTGGGGTCCGCAATTTAGCAGTCCCTCGAACGTCAGTTCAACTTTTGGAATCTTCAACCCGAGGATAATCGCCGAGCTGCTTCGGGGGGAACATGGTTAGTACGTCCTGCAATTATTGCCTGGAGCATGCTACTCATGTGGAGCCGAGGAAAAAAAAAGGGAAGGTAGGACCGGATGACCCAGCCCTGATTCGAACAGGGACCTCCCGCAGAAAGGGCAGCCTTCGACCACGTGGAACTCAGTGCGGGCGCGATGAATTTCGCCACTGGGTCTGTTGCAGAATGCGGTGTGAATTCGGTGGGGTACACGATTAAATAGTCCGCTCCGAGTCGAAGGTCTGTTGAACTTTTAGAATCTTAAACCCGAGGATACTGCTCCTCGGGTACATAGATTTACGTCCCGCAATTTTTTGCCCGGAGCATACTCATTTGAATCTGAGGTATTACAAGGAGCCGAGGCAAGAAGAAGGGAAGGTAGAAGCGGATGACCCAACCCTGATTCGAACAAGGACCTCCCGCAGATATGGCGATCCTACCAGCCTGGTACTCGGTACGGGCGCGATGGATTTCGCCACTGGGTCTATTCTGGATGTGGTTGTTGATTCTTCAACTAACAGCGATAATCTGTGTATGCAGGTCGAGCTTCGATTGGAGCTTTTTTTAGTTCCGACTGGGTGACTTTCCATACGCATTAAACAATGTTTTCGAATATTTTCAAGCACTTTGCCGACATCCCGAGGCAGCTGTCAGGACCCCATCGGCCTTGGATCTCAGTATTATCCGTTCTCGACCCTCTTGTAAACCTTAATGAATTATAATCTGGAACGGGGGTAGGTACCCCCTCTTCAGACTTTCTTTTCCTTCAATAAACGGATTTGGGTGCTCGGCCGAGCGAATTTGGCTTGATGCGGATGCGTGTGAACGATGATGTCTTTCTGCTTGACATCTCCGCCGCTGGCATCTTCCCTCCTCTCACCAACCATGTTCACTCGCCCCCTCCCTCTGTGCCCTCTAAGCTCGAACGCGCGTCAAATCGACACCACCCTCGAGTTAGATGCCAATCCAAATCACTGAATGTGCTCTCCCAGCCACAAATGTGGCGCTGGCGCCGGGCAATCGCGCTACAATCGCGCTACTGGGAAGCTTATGGGCGCAATATTGGGGATCTCGGTGGTCAACACGCCCATAAAAGTGCACATTGTGCATTGCCTTGGTGAGTTTGACCCTGTCCTTGCTCTTTGGGTCAAGCCTTTGACATCGACCACCAGTAACCCTCTCGACCGGAGAGCTTAACTGCCCCAATTGCTTCCGATGTCTCCAGTCTGTCGGCGAACATAAAAGGTCGCACCCAGGTTCGTCTTCCTCGTTCGAGTCTTTCTCTCTCGTTCACCCCACTCATTTTCTTTCCTTTCTTCCTCCTTTGCAATGTCAGATCGTTCGGCGTTCAACCAAGACCAACCATCGGTTCATTACAATGGCATCAAAAACTCCAATTGGTTCTCTGCCAGCGGTGATTGGCCCCCTCCAGCGTCCAGGGTTCGTCATCCATTCTCCGAGTTTCACTATTGCTCACATACATCGTTCCAGGTGTCGCAGCAGCCCTCGTACCAGGCGTCGCAGCAGCCCCCGTTTCAGGCGTCGCAGCCGCAGTTTGTACGTGTCCTACAGCCGGCGTCTACTCTCGCTGACTCTCAGCCGCCCCTCCCATCTCAGTACCCTTCCGCGACAACGACCACCAACCCCACCGGACCTCAGGTAGGCTTTGCATGCTTTCGCTTCGTACCAATACTGACTGCGCACCTGTGTTTTAGCACCAGTTCCCTAGCAGTGGTCCATCCTTCGCCCCCTCCGGCTCGCGTGCTTTGATCGACCCCACCCTCCTTCCTCTCCCCGTTGACGACGAGGACGAGGACACATACCAGTCGGACCCCGCCACCACTGCGAGGTCTCGTGGGCTCAAGCCAGCGCTCAAGGTTGGGGGGGCGCGCCAGAAGGGCAAGAAGCGTGCGCGGTCTCCCGAACTCGACTCTGACAGTGATGCGGCACCCCCCGTCAAGCAGCGCGGCCGGCCCAAAGGTTCCACCAACTTCAACGAAGCGGATGTTGGCGAGGTCCTCAATTTGACCGACAAGATTTGTCCTATGGGCCAGAAGGGTTGGGCGAAGGTTACTCGTCGCCACAACAGATGGGCCAAGCGCAACAATCGACCTGTGCGCGATGCGAAGTCAATCGAGGCCAAGTACAAAGGGGTACGTGCTGCGCTGCTTCCCCGGTATTTGTTCGTCGGCTTATTGTAGTCCACAGCTCCTGCGCACCAAGAAGCCCACTGGCAGTGGTCGTTGTCCTCCCGAAATCAAGCGGGCACATCGCATCGAACGCAAGATAGCTGAACGTGCGGGTACGCGCCAGGTCAGCGATGGCGACGTTGTCGACTCCGGTTCCAACGATGCTGTCGACGACGATGACACCTCGTCCGACGACAGTGTTGAGGTACTCCCCTCCGCTCCCAAAGTCCACACCGCCGTCGCCCGCCGTGCACCCACTCCCCCCCCTCGTCGCAACGCTGGCCTCAATGCGCCTGAGTTAGTCAATAAACTCTCCAAGGCCTTTGACCCCGAGGTGGTGCAGTCCCGTGACGAGGCGCGTGCCGACCGCTCCTTCCAGACGGCCCACTTCTTCACGCTCAACGCGCAGCTGCGGGATTCTCAGGCCACCAGCGAGAATCTCCGTAACCAGATTGCCGATTTGCACAACCAGGTTCACACCCTCGAGCGCGCGCGCGACCTCGCTGAGTTCAAGCTCCAGCTCGCCCGTGGTCCTGCCCCAATGCCAAAGCACCAGAGCCGTCAGGAGTACTTGGCCGAGCATCACCCCTAGGGTCTTGTTTATTAGTCCGGTTTGTAAACACGTTTGTAAACAGCTGTTTATAAACCGGTTTTCAATGTGCTGGGCCAAAATGGTCGGTTTTTAAATCATTTGATGCCATCACAAGGACCATCGGCGCGCCGAAATTTCAACCTCATCTTTGCTTACCACCCCTTTCTGGACCAAGGATATTTGAGGAATGACTTTTTTAGTGCAGTCATCCCACTCACTAACCCAAATCCATGATGGGCTAGCATTTTGTTACCAGTTTTGGTACCCAGTTGACGACGTCGATGACTCAATTGGCCGAAATGCGATTTTAAAGCCTCATAAACCGACCTGAGGAGGCAGTAGATGGTCCACAGAGCTTTGAGGAAGACCGCCGGACCCCAAAAATGGTCTGGGAGGGCAAAAACACGATTTTTGGGTGCTCGTTTATAAACCGGTTTATAAACAGCCTGTTTATAAACGAGAAATTATAAACCGGTTTTTAACTCTTTGAAAATTATAAACAAGACCCTAATCACCCCGACATCGTTCGCGTTGGGGGGAAGGTCCGAAGTGAGCGAATTTATGCCGATGGCGGTCGGTGTACTGAATGGCACTCAGACCCATCCGACGATGAGAAGGAGAATCGGCCTCCCTACGACTACCGCTCCTCATCTCCCCTCCCATCGTCGTCGTCGTCCCTCGGCCTTCCTTTGCCGTTGTCGCCTATGCTCGCCCCCGCCTTCGACATTCCGGTTGCTGGCCCCTCCTCAACTCTCGGTGACGCTGGTCCATCGGCCAGTGATGCCAAGGGCCACTCGGCGGCGCTGTAGATCTGCACATTTACCATCCACCTTCCTTTCTTGCTTGTCGTACTTACCCACATTCCCTTACTGCCTCGGACTTCTCCCCTGGACTCGCACTCTTTTGATTACTGTTTCTTGTGGACTTCTACTTTACTAGCTACCTAATGTATGTTTGAGGCTGCGAATGAATCAATTTGTCGGCCCATAAATCGCTATGTTATGAAAGCGTGCTACTCGATCCGACTGCCGCTGCTGCCCGAACATCATATTCTCAAAATTCATCCAAACCTCCTCCTCTTCTCGTGTCTGCTTCCACAGAGGCATGTACACACTGCGGATCTGGTTGATGCCCACCAGCTCCGCCCGTAGATTGTTGAGACGGACACAAATCTCCAGTAGGTCTGCACGCTCAGCATCGCGGTTTATCTCCAGTGGGATTCGGAGACGCCCAAATGAGCCTTGAAGACCGCGCATCCCCCACTCGGCTGTCTGCCGGTAAGACAGTAGTTCTCTGTCGAACGCTAGCCGTTCCTCGATGTTGTCCATGGTCCCTTGCATTCGCTGCCCAGTTTTGATCGGTGCCCGAATTTTGCCCTCGATCTGCTTCGCGCCACGGGGGAATGCAGTATCGGCTACGAGATAAAAGCCATCGGGTGTACGAGTTCGAAGCTTCTCGTAGATCGACCGGGCGATACGAGAATCGTGCCAACTGCCAGGAGCATTTAGATTTGCAGCGAGAATAGTCCCTGCACCCAGCTCAGCGTCAGTTCGAGAACGAGAAAAGGAAAGAGGCGGAGGTTTCACCTTTGGGCGAAAAAACAAGAACAGAACTGACAAAATGTGCACATAACCATCCATTGTACGTCGCGTTCTCTATTTCTTCATCGTCCGAGGTCTGACACGGCAAATTGAGTCCATCAATGCTCGCGAAGGCACCGGTCAGGCGAGGATGGCGCGTGACGATCATATCGTTGTAAGTACGGAAATCATTGCCCGTGGGCCACTGGATCGTCGCGTCGGGCATTGTACGCAGTGTGTCCAGGAGGAGCTTGAGCCCAAAGGATATGTATCGTGAAACGGTGGATGGAATTAACGCGAAGATTTGCTGCAAACTGATCTCGCGCATCGTGGAGTTCAGATAGTGGAGCAGCAATCCGAGTGCTCCGGACGCGTCAAGGGAGCGCGCGCCTGGACGTGTTCTGCCACTACTCGGCGCGTCACTGCGGGGAATAGGCGTGGCGTTCCACGCGGTGCCAAACCCGGCGGCGAGGATGGCGTTAAAGGTCGCGACATCGAATCCCATTGTGGTTATGAAGGCCCTGTCGTCCTGACTCCAGTACAGAACTTGCCAGGGGGTGCCCCCGCGAGGGTTGGGAAGCAGCTGGGGACGGCGAAGATAGAGTCGACTGGGCTTTCGTCGCTCTGTACGCAGCCTGTGAGCTTCGACAGCACCAAGCAATATGATGGCCATGGCGGTCCCTGCCATGTCTTGCACGTCCTCTGCGTCGTGGTTCTCCTCTTCCTCCAGTTGATGAAGAATAAACGCGTCGCAATCCATTGGAGGAGGTATTGGTAGAAGTCAAGACGCGTTGTTTGTTTCGCACGTGCCATTTCGTTCGAAAAGATATGGAAAGAAATATAACAAATTATACACCGTATGGGAACCATGGTTGAATAGAATGTATGCAACAAACCCAGATGCCGACACCGTTGGCACCCCTCAAAAAATTCCAAAACATTCTTTACTCTTATGGAAAGTCACCCACTGTGAGGGTAATTGTTGTTACTTGTCATCCCGTCCTCCAGATAATCTTCCTTCGTCCAAACGAAAAAGAGCGCCGAACTCAAGCATGACCCAGCCCTGGTTCGAACAGGGACCTCCCGCGGATAACAACCTTCGTGGTCCAAAACGCAGTGCGGGC